GAACAGTCTGTGAAACAAATCATAAGTACGAACACATGCATCAAAAACTATGCTCTGAGGATGAAGCGACTTCTAATTTGTGGGAAAAGGATTAAATATTTCTGTTTTCTGAAAAGAGTTATTTTGTATTTTGTTTTCTATTAAAATGTGTTTAGTTTCCAAAAAAAAAAAAGAAAGTGAAAGAGGAGAAGTGAAAAAGTTGGCTTAAAAGTCAACATTCAGAAAACTAAGATCATGACATCTGATCCCATCACTTCATGGCAAATAGATGGGGAAACAGTGTAAACAGTGGCTGACTTTATTTTTTTGACCTCCAAAATCACTCCAGATGGTGACTGCAGCCATGAAATTAAAAGACGCTTACTCCCTGGAAGAAAAGTTATGACCAACCTAGACAGCATATTAAAAAGCAGAGACATTACTTTGCCAACAAAGGTCTGTCTAGTCAAGGCTATTGTTTTTCCGGCAGTCGTGTATGGATGTGAGAGTTGGACTATAAGGAAAGCTGAGCACCGAAGAATTGATGCTTTTGAACTGTGGTGTTGGAGAAGACTCTTGAGGGTTCCTTGGACTGCAAGGAGATTCATCCAGTCCATCCTAAAGGAAATCAGTCCTGAATATTCACTGGAAGGACTGATGTTGAAGCTGAAACTCCAGTACTTTGGCCACTGATGCAAAGAGCTGACTCATTTGAAAAGACCCTGATGCTGGGAAAGATTGAAGGTGGGAGGAGAAGGGGATGACAGAGGATGAGGTGGTTGGATGGCATCACCAACTCAACGGACTTGAGTTTGAGTAAACTCTGAGAGTTGGTGATAGACAGGGAGTCCTGGCGTGCTGCAGTCCATGGGGTTGAAAAAGAGTCGGACATGACTGAGCAACTGACCTGAACTGAACTGAATGATAGAGGAAGCAATAATTCACAGATAGAGAGTTACTGTTTGGTGCTTAGAAGTATTTCCTTTCTTGAATGTAAAGCTAACTGTAATGACCGTCTTCTTCTTCTCTTTCTTTTTCAGTTTTGCAGACTCCAACTGTGAGCAAAAGTACATCTACCAAAGGTACAGAGACACTAAAAAAAACTGCAAGCCCTGATTGTTTTACAGGTAATTAAAATTTGGAGAAAATGCCTTTCCAAATTTCTTCAAGATAGTTTTTATGTTGCCCTTTTGGTAAAATAGTTGTCTGCTTTTACAGAATTAAGTGTAATGAATAAAATAAGGAAGAATAAGCTATCTAAAGCAATTTATTTGATGCAGAAAACTCTTCTAATGTTTGAGAACGATGCAACCTGTTCTTCTCTACAGAACTACTTGACGGTAATATTGTACCATTCCTTACTTTAGCCCAGACTTGAAGCCCCTGTTAAAAATGAACGATTTATTGCTCTTTTTTCAAAATAATGTGTTGCCCTTAACATTAGATTATGAACTTTCAGATTTGCTGTGTTTAGTCCTCTCTGTGTGAAGTGAAATAGTTCTAAGCAGGAAAATTAATATATATCTCCTATCTTGAACTCTCTTGAGAAAGAGATTCTTCCTCTGCAGGGGGTATCTTACATAGGGAACCAAATAAAATCAGAAGAGTTCAAAATGAGGTAAACTGTAGCATGTAAGTGACACTGTGCAAGCATAAGTGTATTCCTTACTATGGAACTGAAATACTTAACGTCCTTAGGCTACGGCACCTTTCCTAAGATGGAGATTGCTGATTTGTGGACCAGTTGCCTTGCTGTTGTCTCTCTGTGACCTGGAAATTGTTCTGTCTTCTTACTAATTTATTATGTTGATTTTAGAGTTTAAATTCCTGAGGGGAATCACATTTCTGTTTTATTTTGTCCCTATGCATCACAAAGCTTTGCTTGTGTTGGCTGAATGAATGGCACATGGTAAATTAGAGACTGCCAGTAGCTTAACTGACACAGGATAGAAGAGTGTAGGTCAAAGCTAGGGGAGGATACAGAGTTGAAGAAGAGTCTGACATACAGCGGGGATCCTATAATAGAAGCGGGAAAGGAGACGGGACTGAAAGCACATACAAAGCGATTCCTCTCCAATGGAGGGTGGACTGCAGAGCAGGCACCTCATCCCTCTGGTGTAGAAGGCAAGGAGCCACAGACAGGTGTAGATTTCAGTAAGTCTCTTGTGGAGGCAGAGAGTTGAGTGGTTACTTTCTTATCTGAATCATCTGTTAAAGTAGGAGGCAAGGCGATCTGCCAACCATGGAGTGTGGGGCTGGGTAGATGGACTGAGGAGAGAGAAGGTGATGGGAGAGTGGAGAGGAATGGATGAAGGCGCTAACTCTAAGATAAAGGACTGGCCAGCATCCTGAAGTTCTAGCTGAGGTTGAAGTCCATGGATTTCCAGAAGACCCCATCTGAATGCTGGTATGATATTATCCTGGTGTGGTATTCTTAGTAGCTGTGACAGTAGAATTCTTGTGACAGTAGAGATCTGTATCAGATTGGATTTTTTAAAAAGTATGAAAGTATAGGTTAAAAGTTCACAATGAGAAATGGGTGCAGATTGAATAGGGAAGGCAGTAACACCCACCAAGGCTTTTAAAGACTTGGTAAACTATGGAGATATCAAGAGATCGGGCTTCTCTATGAGGTCGGGGGCCATAAAATCAGAATTTGAGAGAGCTAGAAGGATAGGTGTTTGAAATCAGAAAGTAGAATATTGGAATTTCAGATTTCTGGCATGTAGGGTTTCCTGATCATGAGTCCGTCACTTCTTTTATCCAACAAATGGTTTTGAGGGCCTGTGATCCATTCAGCAAATGTTTCAAAGCAAGTTGACAATGTGCCTGGTATTATATGCTGAGTATAGGGGATAAAAACAAAGATCCTTTCTTTATTCAACTGATACTGATGGATTGCCTACTCTTTGTGGTTTCTGCCTTCAAGATAAATCCAGTCTATGGGAAAATAGACATGTAAGCAAGTGATTATGAGTCATTGTCATAAGTGCTTTAATTGCAAGAGTGCCAGGGAAATTCAGGAAGAGAATACCTCACCCCGCAGTAGAGAATGTTTGAGGAAACATTCAGAAAAGATGACATGAAGTTGAATACTGAAAGACAGGCAAGAGTTGCCAGAGACAGAGAAAGAGAAAGGTGGAAAGGACATGCAAGGCAGAGAAAACAACTTGTGCAAAGGTCCTGAGGCGGGAAGGGTCACAGAATGCTTGTAGTCCTGTAGGCCCTTCAGTGTGACAGAAGCTGAGATGCAATGGCAAAGGGGAGGGGGTTGTTTGGAAAGGATGGTAAAAGGTGAGGCCAGAGAGAAAGTAGAGTCTGGTTCAAAAGAAATCTAAGGGTTCTGGATGGATGCTGCCAGCATTCAAGGGGAGGAAGTCTGTCCTGGTCCTATTCCGGGAGAGCCTTGATACATTAGAATCTCCAGTCTTTGAATGAAGGAATTTGATGATGGTGTTGGGCAGTCTCAGCTGGCCAGGCCAAGCGGTATCTGATCTCTGTCGGAAGACTCCTGGGGTGCGTTCAGGATCCCATTTCTTAGCAGATGCTTCTACAACCAATCTTTATTAGCCAGTGTTTGGAGGACATTGGTACTGCAGTCCTATTTCGATGGCAAGTAAAGCTTATCTTTTAGAAACTATTTCTCTCAGGACTCATCTCATGGCCTCTTAGAGTTCAGAGAGAGTAAATCCTCCAGGATTTTCTCTTTTGTTTTATTATGACACAGTTTTGTCTTTATGCTATCACAATATACCCATTCCCCTGTTATGTCTCTATCTTCCCACTCTCGTGACTGGAAGCACACTGGAGATGCGGGAAAGCTGAAATGTTCATTTTCTTCTCCGTGTGTATCTTTTCTGTTTCTTAAATGAAACTATTTTAACTTAAGAAAAATTATAATATCCTCTTAAACTCATGAGAAGCATTTAGAGGCTCCACTTTTTTTTTATGAGGGGCCCTCCATAAGGATTGTCACCAGCTGGGAAATGTTGAATATTTTTTTAGAAGTCCTGAAATTGTCCATGGCCATTTCTGCTCCTCCATGGAAATTTTTTTATCCTAGTGTTAAAAAGCTTAATGATTAGTCCTCAGGGTACTCTCATAAACGATGATGTTATGGATCAAATAATTGCCAAAATTTCTTTCCTTAAAGAAGACAAATAAATTTATTTCCCTTGGCAATCATTTTTTTTTCCAGCTACATTACAGCATACTTTCCATTATCATCATCTGGTAATAGAATTATCCCCAAACCAGTATCTGATGTGTCACCTGATACCATAAAAAAGATTTGGAAAGCCTGGGTCTTTGCAGAACTCCTCAATAATTCATACCGTGTTTCAGTTTTTCAGAAGTTTCCTGACCTTGTAGAGATGAATACTCTCATCAGGTGTCTGTTTTATTCTAAGTCCGTTAAAGGTGGACCAGCTTGTTGCCACGGATAAGGGACCAACTTTTGATAAGAACCTGTTAGCCTTCCAGATGAGATGGTTGCTTATTTTTTTTATTGTGGGGATTTATTTTTCTCATTTTACTCTCTTGGTTATTTGACTTCTGGAAGTCCTTGCTGGCATTTTACACACTATACTTCTGATTTATTTTAATGGCTTGCACCTAGAACCAGCCTGAGATGTCCCCGATCTTCTGCTGATCAAGTAGAGGAATCAGCATATGGCTTATGATCTTCACTCTTAGTTCACTTCAGAGTCCAGTAGTCCAACATTGAGCATCTTTACAGTGCAATTTCTCACTGGGCAGAGGCAGGAATACTCTTCAATACAAGTGCTAAGGGTACCAGGGCAGATTATATACTGCTGTTTTCTGTCGAGCATCCACTTTCCTTTCCAAATGCCACCTTTGAAGGAATTTCTTTTTCCCCACTAGATGTAACCAGGTGGGACTTTTCAGGGCCAGTCTTCTCAGCCAGCCAAGAGGATGACTGGTGAGGCAAGCTAGGCCGATAGGTTGTTCCCTCTTTGGAATCTGAATCTTGAGCAAAACTAGACAAAAACTAGTTGGCATTCAGGACTTTCCAGTTGTCTCAACGGTAAAGATTCCTCCTGCCAGTGGAGGAGGGGTTCAGTCTGTGGGCCGGGAAGATTCCCTGGAGGAGGAAATGGAAACCCACACCAGTATTCTTGCCTGGAAGATTCCATGGACAGAGGAGCCTGGTGGGCAGTCCATGAGGTTGCAAGGAGTCGACATAACTGAGCATACACACACACACACACACACACACACACACTCTCACACACAGAGTTGGCATTCATTCATTCTGATACCTCTGTCCTGATCAGATTCTTTTAGTTGTATTCTGAGGACCCTCTTGCCTCTGGTCTTGCTGTGGTCAAAGTCTCATTTTCCTGTTGCTTCTGTTACCAAAGAACCCTAACTGATGCATCTAGTGATCGCCTTGTTCTGTTTGTTGAAACTTAAATCAGTAATTGACTGTTCCAAAATTCAGTTAGAGCGCTTCAACTCTAAGCAAAGAGAGCATTATGGATTAGTAGATTATTTTTTATAATCAACACAAAATCTAATCTTATGGCCCTAATTTGGAACCATAACTAATGAAGACGCCCAGCCACTAGAAGTTCTAATCACTCCTGGCTTTAATATTTCCTGGATTTACAACTCAGGGCTTCCCAGGTGGCACAGTGGTAAAGAATCTGCCTGCCAGTGGAGGTGATACAAGAGACTTGGGTTTGATCCCTGGGTTGGAAGATCCCCTGGAGGAGGAAATAGCAACCTGCTCCAGTATTCTTGCCTGGAGAATCCCATGGACAGAGGAGCCTGGAGGGCTGTAACCCATGGGGTCGCAGAGTCAGACATGACTGGGGGACTGAACACAGTGTGGAACTCCTGAATCCTGTTGTATTAACTATGTTACCAACTGAAATGATTTCCCCTATTCTGTAGCATTTTAGTCAAATCAATCCTGTTTGCTGTTTTGAGGAAGAGTATATGTAAGCCAATTTATTTCAGAGATCTCAGTTCTTTTAAATTGTTCCATCTTCCTCATGAAGAGTTAACGCCTTTTTGATTCTGACCCCCCTCTTATGAGGTCATATTTTGACCCCAAGTCTTCAAAAGAAGACTTCACTCTTTTAGCATATTTACATTTTAGGGTGTTTTTGTTTTAAATATTTTGAGGTTATTGCAGAGAAAACATCACCTAGGTTGCCTTTTCATGCTTCTTTTAAACTTTGCTTTGTATTAAGACAAGAAATCACAGTGGTTAGACGTAGAAGGATCTTGATTAGAGCTGTGGTTCTGCTGCTGACTAGCTATATGATCAAGGTCAAGTTTCTTATGCTCTCTTAAGTTTTAATTTCATTTG